CCGAGTAATAAGTAAACACAAGATTTTTTGGCTACATAGGATTTTCCAAGGTGATTAAATAATTTTCTAAATCGCTCTGAGAACGAAGCCGTCTAAAATCCCCAAGGTAATAGGAAATTAACTGCACACACACGCGTGCAGAAGATATAGGAGGAATTCAAATTTACCGAGGAGTAATATAAAATATTTAAGAAAGCAAACAAGATGGAGTAAAACCTAAAATGCAAAAAATGGTGTAAATTAAATCTATTGGAACTGGCAGTGACTACCCTTGCTGCGCAGCTCCATGAGGGCACCAGGCTCAGCACGGCCCCTGCTCCACCCGAGCCCGGCACAGGTGGTGCCCGTCTCGGATGAAAATGCTTTAAAGACCTCCAGATATTTTTTTTACCAGGCGAAAGCATTCATCAACATTCATCTCCAACCACTGACTCACCCGAAGAACGGCGCCTTGGGAGCCGCACAGGTTGGGTCAGGGATGGCAGTTTTGGGGCAAGCAGTTGTTTGAGGCACCATCTGACGACTCAAGGGCTTGACCCAAGCCCTACGTTAAGGCTTCCCAAGCTTTTCCATGGTGGGAGCCACCTCCACCACCTCCCTCAGCCCCCGGGGGACTGCTGGAGCTCAGCACCTTGGAACGGCAGCCCAAAACCCCATGAGAGGGCGGACTCATCCTCCACGAGAGCTGCGGGTGCGAGTGATGGGGCAGGGTGAGAAGCCTCACCCGGGTGCCTTCACGCCGGCACAGCCAGGCAGGGGGAGTGCAGAGCCCCCAGGGGAAGGGCTCTGGAAAGCCATCCCTCCCGAGCAGCTCGAGGAAATTCATATTTCATGTTCTGCTCCCTCTCTGCCCACGGAGTTCTTTCTCGTGGTGGTGCGTAGGTGTATGTGAGGGATTTATCCTTTCCCCACTGAATCACTGCAGCACAACATCTTTTCAACCCTTCTGTACAGCAGAAAGAGCCTCATGGCATTTCTCCTCGTTTTCCTGCTCTTAAGGAGACAAGCCAGCCAGCTCCGCAGCGCGTCCGCGCTGCACCCCAGCTCAAGGCTGGCAAGTAGAACCACCCCTCCTAGCCCTGGGGGAGCAGACAGTCCCTCCTCCCGCACCCCAAAACCGCAGCCCAGCCCACCTGTGGCCAGCACGACGGCACTAAAGATGCTGTTGCCTTTTCAGCTGGAAAAAAACGTCTCAGAGCTCAAGGGAAAGTGCCCCCAGAATAGTTTGCTCCCCTCACCACCTCGATCCTGGTCCAAGTGTTACCGAACCCCAGTTATGCAGCTACGAGCGTTCCCACTTCAACTAGGGGTGCTGGAAGATGTTTCATCACCACGTCTGAGCCCGGCGTTCGAGTCTTCTGTATTTCAAAAGGAAAACGGGCAGGAAATGAGTTTCGCGGCTGCCGGCACGAGCAAAGCCATGGCCATGAGAGGATGCTTCCCCCGCTGGCGATCATGTGATCACTTCTTTAGAAAAAGGCTCAAGTACCCAACAATAAAAATTTCCAACAAGCTGTTCAGGTTTTTTAGCCCTGCATGAGAAATAGGCCCCTCCTGAAATTTCAAATTAACGTTAACGACCCTTCTGCCAGAGTTCTAATCCAACAGTGCTCTCCAGTTGAGCTCCTCCCAGCGTGATGAGACGCAGGGTCTGGTGGATCCGACCAAGGCCGGGGGCTCTAAGCAGGACGGCGCTGCCCAGCATCACGGGGTTTGTATCAGCCTTCAGCCCATCACCGACTTCTGTGCCATCTCGGCAACCTCAACCTTTTCAACGGGTTTTTTGCAGGGTTCCTCCAAGCTTCCCTCTAATACTTTTGTGCACTGGTTCATCTCTCTTCCCTTTTTTTATTCTCCCATCTCCCATTTGGTTTCTGTCAGAATGGTTTGGATTGGAAGGGACCTTACAGATGATCGAGTTCCATCCCTGAATCACAGGCAGGGACCCCTCTCTCCCACCAGCCCAGGTTGCTCCAAGCCCCATCCAACCTGGTCTTGAACACTTTCAGGGATGGGGCATCCACAGCTCCTCTGGACAACCCGTTCCAGCGTCTCACCACCCTCAGAGCAAACCTCCTGCCGTCCTCCAGGGACACTTCAGCACCTGACTCTCGAGCTCTCAAAAAGCACATCACAAAGACAACCACTTCCCTCCCTCTCCGAATTCCCAAAGATCACTCGTGCCACCTCCCAGCAGGTGCGCTCCGTTTGCAGAACGCACACATGCAAAAAAAGAGCCGGGAGCAAAACCAGCAAAAGCACAGAGGGGGCATTAGATGAGTGCCGTGCCGCAGCCCCTTCCCGGGTTTGAGGTCCTCCCCTCTTTGCCTTGGCCTCCTGGGTGCACGACAACGCCACCCGTAAATGAGGGGTCAACCACGAGAGCAGGAAAAGGCTTCTTCCAGTCAGAGCTGCAGTTCAAGCTGCTCGCTCCACCCCTACCACCAGCAAAACTACCATCTCCTTCCAGAAAATACAATTTCAAAAAAAATAAAGAAAAAGGAAAAACCCTGGGGAAACTAAGAGTTCTCATGGTGAATTTTATTTTGTAAGCGACGATATAAACATGTGAATAAGAACAGGCATCGTTGGTGGGGCTTTAACTCAAAGAGCCCCGAACCGAGCAAGCCTTGAAGAGCAGCCGAGCTCCCGCCCGCGACACCAGGGGCTGGCCAGGCTGCAGTCCCCCCCCACCTCCGGTGTGGAAGGACCAATGCTGGAGTATTTGCTATTCGCTGAACGTACGCATAACCCCAGAACGTACCTCCCAACTCTCCCCCTCCCCAGTTAAAAAAAAATAATAAAAAAATTAAAAATACAGCTGCAAAACAGTGAAGAAAGAAATGAAACGGCTGCCAGCTTATCGAGACTGAAATGGCCTGTCGGGCTATAAACTGAAATATCATTCTGGAGGTAACCAACTGGTTGCCACACAAAGTACTGTATTTACAACTCAAAAATATATCTGTTGTATACTTTAATTTATAGGAAATTTTAGTACATTAGTGTTTACAAAATAAATTCTGGACTCAACTGAAACAGCGCGCTCCTTAGCAAAGTTCTTTGTCCTTCCTCTCACTTTAATCGAAGAGACGGGCAAGCTCAAGAGCTTCTTCTGCGACTCCACGCGCCACCTTGGAGCGGGCCAGGTGTTGGAAAGAACAGAACATTTCCTGCATCTCTAAAGTCTTCTCGCTTGGCACCTTCTACCACTGAAGCCGTACAGATGAAACCTCAAGCTGTCCTTTGACAAGTTCCGTGCACGTCTCACGACAGCCACTCAGCTACTAACCGGGGCACCGGCTAACGTAACGAACCGAAGAAATATCCGTATTACTAGCTCACACAACGGGAAAAGAGGAAATATTAACCACACACCCAATCTCTTATTTCTAACAGCACAGCTGCGAACGCCATCGCTTAAAAGTACTTGAGTAAGTGAAACAGTACCATACAGCTCAAGAAACACTTTTTTTCCCTTAAAAAACCAAACCAAAACAAAAAACCCAAACGTTTTAATAGTATAAAAAGTTGTTTACTGGTGTTTCTACTATAAAGCTTTGTTTCACAAATCAAAAGTGATAAAATGATCGGATTACGTTTACAGTGATAAGAGAACCGCAGCGCAGACATTCCAGCTCAGGTTTTGCTGACCGTTTCGGTACGACGCGGACGGTACGACGGAACCGTTCGTACACAAGCGATCGACGACACGGAGCGAATCGCAGACACGAAGCGCGACGGGGAAGTTCACCCACCGGGCACAGCGACCCTGCTCCCCTCGGCCTCCAGAGCGCGCCGTAGGTGAAAAACGTGCTTGATAAAAACGAGGCGTGGAACTCTTCTGACCGCGGGGAAAGCAGCTTACGCGGAGGGGAGAGGGACGCAGGCAAACAGCGAATCCTCAGTTACATGCCAACTATTTCTCCTCAGGTAAAATGACATCTGCAAAAGTGAAAATGTACAAAAAAAAACCAAAACAAAACAAAACACCACCCCAAAAAAATGGTCAAATAAATAAGGAACATGGCTGTTAATTAATCACAGATATAAAGAAAGGTATTGGCATACTGTATGCAGCATACGGTATATTCATAGAATCATGTGGGCTGGACAGCACTTAATAAGGAGTTGCAACTAAAGACATAACTCCTTGTCTCTCTCCTCCGAAAGATCTTACGGTGTTTGGATCTCAAGTGCAACCTTTTACACCGATGCATAAACCCCGCATCGTATTTCATCTGTGCCACACCTAGGATGCTCTTCTCTTTTTTTTTTTTTTTTAAAAAGATCCACAGAGAAAAGTTATAATGGTCTGGGTCACAACTTTTGCAGCCCCGTCCGTGCTACTCGGTCTCTCAGGTTTCCCACCAGCTGAGAGATCTGAGCCACTGCAGAGCGTATCGAGCCACAGCTTTTCCCAACAAAGTGGGAGTCCATTGTACGGACTCTTCCCTGCTCTCCCTGGCGCTTCCCATGCTCCTGAACCGCAGGGTAGGTGTGTTACTTTGGAGTGTGTTATGCAAAGGCTGCTGAAACCACTGAAGGTGATGTAAAGATAGTTAAGTGACAAGTACGTCCGCTATAATACAGAATCAGGGTCTAGGTCTATCAAATGCTATATCCACATAACATTTTAAACCATGAAATATTTTACTGTTTTCCTTTTTTTTTTTTGCCTTTTTTTTTTCTCTACAAGCGTTGTTGCAGACTTGCTGTTAAATGTGTCACGAGGTTCGCATTCCTAATTCTCCAAGGATTTTTAGTTCAAATGTTTAACAACCATATCTACGCTAGGTACACTTAAAAGTAGACATTGAAATTTCAAGTAAAATGAACTGTAGCCACATCTACTGGACTCAATACACGTCCCAACATCTAGATTTACTTTGATAAGTTATACAAATACATAATACATTCTTAAATAATGAAGACCCACAATATTAATTTGTGAATCTTCCCACGTTATAAAACCACTTTTACAGGAATGTTTATCCACCTGTATTACTGTTTTCGTTTGCAGTGTCTCGTTTTTCTGTTTCCACAGATTTACTGTACCAGTTCTTAGGCTTTGGCTATTGAAATCTCTTATTTGAATGAGGCAACACTGGTTATTAAGGCTGTTTTTTGTGTTTTTTTTTTCTCTTGTGAAGTTTCATGCTTTACTATGACACCGTTTTCCAGAGCAGAATGACTATCTTGTGTCTTCAGGTTCTGTTTTTATGACTTTCCTTTCTACGTTGTTGAAAGCCGAATGAGGAAAATCCTTTAAGATACCAAGGCCTTCTGTATTAAGAAAAGGAAGAAAGGAAAGAGATGTTAAAAAAACTGCTTGAAAACAACGTTCTTAATTCAAGAAAAAAGGTTCACGAATCGTACAGATACTAACAGCTGAAGCAATCAATTCTGCCTCCTTCTAGCAGGCTTTAACCCCGCTGGGTTAGAACCACCTCAGCTACACTGCAGCGATGACAGAGTAATCCCCATGGATTTACTCCAACCTCTCCGGGCTCAGCGGAGGAGGTGCACTCTTCACTTGCATTCACAAGGGCACTGGTAAAAAGCCCCAGCTAAAAACGTCGCCAAGAGAACGAGCACTAGGATTGGGACAAACTGCAAAAAAAGGTGAGCTAAGACCGTAGGACACTGAAGTGGAAGATATAAGACTATGCTGAACCTTTGGAACGCTGAACCTTTGGAACGATTACTCTTACACTTTGCCTTTCAAATAACCCGTTCCCATTGCACATGCCAGACTCAGGTGGGCTTTTATCATTATTCCTCAAGCTGCGAGAGTCTCAAGAGATCCTGGGCTTCGTTTCAGTGCTCTGAGCACTGAACTGAAACCACCCATCCACATCTCGTAAAGGATTCTCGCTGTCAAACACAGAACAAGTCTCTCCCAGTGCCAGGAGGAAATGAACAGAAAGTCTGTGGTGACAGACAGGTGCCACAATCTGCTTATCGGAACCTCACAACTGCCTCCTCTCTGTTTTTCCCAAATAATATTCAATCTGATTCTAGATGAGTAACTATCAAACCTCCTGGAGTTTTGTCCAAAGCCTTGATTAAAAGGTCGCACACAAAGCATGCCGGGCTGGGCTACTCCGAGCCATCACGTACGAGTAAGTTCATGGCAGGCTTTGAGAGAAAGGGGGGCTAATTTCCAAGAGACGGCACTAACCCGAGGACTGGGACTTTGCCTCACCACCAGGGTAAAGCCGGATCAAATCACCGCACAGAGGTTTTCCAACGTGCTGCTCTCCATCGAGTGAAATATGCTGCAACTGTCTGCTCGGCAGGTTTGACATTCGGAGATTCAGCGGCCTTTCACCTGCAAGTTGTTCACAGCGAGACACCGATGCATGAAAAGCAAAGCAATATTTAAAAAAAAGAAAAATCCCTCGCCAAACAAGGTTTATGTAAACACAATGCTTTGCAGGCTATTCCACTGGCACTGCTGGAAAGGAACACTCAGCCATACCAAAAAGAAACCAAACCAAAAAAACTCAACATGTTCCTGCTCTGCTCAAAAACCCCTTTGAGATCCTAAAAATTCCCTGCTCCCACTGCACAATCCCTTTGAGATGACAGTGGATAAATGGTATAAAGAAATCTGCACTGTCAAGAAGAGCTGGAGCCACACACCTAATTCTTCCTGTACTCTTGGGTACAGCATTGCTTGTCCACACAAATGAATGTTTCAACGCTTACTCACACTGATTCTCCTAAGTTCCTCCCTCTACAGCTTCTCTCCCTACGCCCCCCCTTAAAAACAACAGCTCTTAAAAAACAGATACAAGAACTTCTGGTTGTATGTCTTCTGTTTATAACATTTTATCTCATTTCACAACGGTAAAAAAAAAAAATCCAAACGGAAAGCCCTGGAACAAAACAAACACTCCTAAAATTAATGCAAGCTAAGGACTAGCCAGTTGGTAAATTAAAGAGACAACCACAAAACTGTAAAAGCTTTTTGAAGAGTAACGAGCTACTCAGAGCATCATTACAATCTGCTTAGTTCCAAGGAATTTACATAGCCAGCTCCTCAGGTTTTGTTCCTAGACCGCACAAAACAGGTAAACGAAAAGGGGCACCGACTCCATCGTCTCCTTTACTTCCCATTTCCACGGAGTGAGGGCGCAAACAAAACGCCACGCCCTCTCTCCTCTTTTCAAAACTCGGCATGAAGCCAGAGCCAAGTTCTGCCCTCGACAGCAGCACTGCACCCTCCCCTCCTTCCCCCCAACACTATCC